GTTCTCGCAGTCGTAGTCGCGTTCGCGATGACAATCGCAGTGGCAACGGCAGTCACAGACACAGCCTCAGCCTCAGCCTGCCTCAGCCTCAGCCTCAGCCTGCCTCAGCCTCAGCCTGCCTCAGCCTCAGCCTCAGCCTGCTTCAGCCTCAGCCTCAGTCTTGCCTTCAGCCTCGGCGTCAGCCTCAGCCTGCCTCAGCCTCAGCCTGCATCAGCCTCAGCCTCAGCCTCAGCCTGCCTCAGCATCAGCCTGCCTCAGCCTCAGCCTCAGCCTGCCTCAGCATTCAAAATGTGGCCCGGGAATGTAGTTCTGGGAACTCGAAGAACACGAAGTGGCCTACAGTTGGCTCCGGGCATTCAAAATCATGCCCAGGAATGGAGTTCTGGGAACTCGAAGACCACGAAGTGGCCTACAGTTGGCTCCGGGCATCCAAAATCTGGCCCGGGAATGGAGTTCTGGGAACTCGAAGACCACGAAGTGGCCTACAGTTGGCTCCGGGCATCAAAATGTGGCCCGGGAATGGAGTTCTGGGAACTCGAAGAGCACGAAGTGGCCTACAGTTGGCTCCGGGCATTCAAAATGTGGCCCGGGAATGGAGTTCTGGGGACTCGAAGACCACGAAATGGCCTACAGTTGGCTCCGGGCATTCAAAATGTGGCCCGGGAGTGGGGTTCTGGGAAGTCGAAGAGCACGAAGTGTGTGACTGTTGCATCCGGTTATTCAGAATGTGGCCCGGGAATGGAGTTCTGAGAGGTCGAAGAGCACGAAGTGTGTGACTGTTGGTGAAAAACGAGCCCGGCAGAGGCCCGGCACCCTGCCGGCCGGCAACTCCCAACGCCTGCCCGGACCCCCCCTGTGGAGTGATCTGTGAGCTCTTTTGAATCAACTAGAAACCTATCAGTCTACGCTGTTAGGTAAAATGATATTGTTTGGGATTGCGCACCTTACTCAACCACTGGTTGTTCGGGTGACCCGACGGCACTCGACACGCCAAACAAAACAGGGACCAATCCTCTGACGTTGCGCCGGCTCGGGCGCCAAGGTTGTGGGCAAACATTGTTGTCTGTCGCGGGCAAAGTCCGAAAACTCAGCAAAATACGAGAAGAGCACCGCCAATGCAAAACAGGAAGAGGCGCAAACAAGGAGACAGCGAGGTGGACCGTCCTTGGCTGTTTCGCTGTGCCAGGTCCTTGACACGCAAAGAAGACGCAAATCCACGGCCACCCATCACATACATGAGGCGGGACGAAATCTTCGCCCCTAGACGGCACGAGAACGAGACGGCGGCGGGACAAGCACCGAACTCCTCACGAAGACTCAAAAGAGGAGTGGCTCGCCTTGTTTGCGTGGCGCCAGCCGAATCCGAGCACGCCGCCGCCGTCAAAAGCTAGCGGGCGATCCTCCGCACAGTCGCTGCTCAGCTTTCTCTGGCACAGGCCTTCCAGCTAGAAGGAGGAAGAGAAGGAGGAGGAGGAGGAGGAGGAGGAGAAGGAAGAGGAGAAGGAAGAGGAGGAGGAGGAGGAGGGGGAGGAGAGGGGGGAGGGGGAGGAGGAGGAAGAGGAGGAGGAGGAGGAGGAGGAGGAGGAGGAGGAGGAGGAGGAGGAGAGGCCGCGGAGGCGCGGGTCTGCTCCAGGAGCCGAACGCCGCCGCGGTGGCGCCGCGGCCGCGCTCCGACGCCGCCGCCAGCGAAGGCTGCGGCGATCCCTCTCAGAGGAAGAGGGAGACGCGGTCGCCGACGACGCTCGTCGGCTCGGAGGCGACCGCGTTGACCAGCAGGTCCGCGATCGCGCCGTGCAGCAGCCCCATCGAGTTCTCGAACTCAGCTGCACCTCTGAAAACTTCAGACCAGCGTGCCGTCGCCGATGTTTGGGAAAGGGTCCTCCTCGGCGTCGTCGAGGCTGGTCGCCATGGGCCTAACCCCTCGCCCTGCAGGGGAGTGCTGGCATTCTGCCCCTTCTTGATGCTCCCCAGGCCTACCCCTTCGCCTGGCAGGGGCGGTGACCTCTCCATCCGTCGCGCTGTCATGAGGCCTAACCCCTCGCCTCGCAGGGGGGTCCGCCATGTGGGTCTCCACCACATCCTCAGGCCTAACCCCTCGCCCTGCAAGGGTCCTCGGGCGCTCGGCCCTTTCACCGTGCTTCACAGGCCCACCCCCATCGCCTGGCAGGGGTTGTGACCTCGCCGTCCAGCACTTTGCTGCGAGGCCTAACCCCTCGCCTCGCAGGGGACTCCGCCACGTTGACCTCCACCGCGTCCTCAGGCCTACCCCCTCGCCTGGCAAGGGAAAGATCCGTCACGTTGGCCTTCACCTCCTCAGGCCGACCCCCTCGCCTGGCAGGGGCTTTGACCTCGCCGTCCAGCGCGTCGCTGCGAGGCCTAACCCCTCGCCTCGCAGGGGATGCCGCCGCGTTGACCTCCACCGCGTCATCAGGCCTACCCCCTCGCCTGGCAGGGGGGCCGTCCGTCTCGTTGGCCATCACCTCCTCAGGCCTACCCCCTCGCCTGGCAGGGGACATACGCACCGTAGTCTTGCCAGCAATCCTGCGCCGCGGTCGAGAGCTTGCTGCCGAGGTCGCTGTCGTCGCGGTCACCGAACTGCTCCCTGCCGCCACCTTCCATGGCTTGCGCAGGCGCACAGGAGTGGCGGAGGGCGTCTCCCCAAGCACCCGAGTGGCCTCATGAGCTGCTTCCTCAGCCTCAGACGGTGGGCACGATGGGGCGCTGGTCCTGGGTCCAACCTTAGACTGCCCATCTGCTGCAAGCCATCCGATACGCTGCTGAAGGAAAACTGCTCGGTCCACGTCCTGATCTTCCTCATCGCCAGGTGCAGGTTCACGCGGAGGTGGTAGTTGAGGTCGGTCTGGGGCGCGTTCGCCCAGGATCCTCCTGAACATGTTCCGCGCCTGCGCGAGTGCCTGCACGTGTTGAAGTTCCAGACGTACTCGCTCTTCATGGTGTTTGCCACAGTCGATGAATGAAAGCACCACGCCTTGCGACGGTGCGCCGCCATGCACTCGCGCAAATTTCATCGACGATCGGCTGTAGCGCCTTACCAGGGAACACCCTGAAGAGGAGTTGCCGAAGGGGATTGATCGAACATCGCTGATACGGAGACAATACACCACTCCAGCCACGGTCCACTGTTGCTCGCTAGACACGTGTAATCCTCGAACCATAACGCTGCCCAGTCTCTGAGGTCCGCTCGCATGTCCGCGTAGTCCTCGACGGCTTGGTCATCAACCAGCCCAGGAGGAGGAGGAGGAGGAGGAGGAGGAGGAGGAGAAAGAAGAGGAGGTGGAGGAGGAGGAGGAGGAGGACGAGGAAGAGGAGGGAGAGGAGGAGGAGGAGAAGGAGAAGGAAGAGGAGGGGGGGGGAGAAAGGGGGGGAGGAGGAGGAGGAGAAGGAGGAGGAGGAGGAGGAGGAGGAGGAGGAGGGCGACGAGAAGGAGGAGGAGGAGGAGGAGGAGGAGGAGGAGAAGGAGGAGAGGAAGGGGGGGGAAGAGGAGGAGGGGGAGGAAGCCCGTGGAGGTAGACGGGGCGTTGGTGGCAGAGTCGTGCCCCTCCCCTCGCCAGCGCTACCAGGCTCTGCCGATGGTGTGGGGCTTCTGTCGATGGAATCGCGCCCTCGCCTCGTCAGCGTTGCCGGGCTGACGGCCGCAGAACGTCACTCGGGGGCAAGGGGGGCAAGGTGGCGTCCGCGTCGGGCGGATCGCGCCCCTCTCTACGCAAGCTCGACCAGACTGGCTGGCACAGGATACTGACCTGGGCCGAGGGCGTGGGGCCTCCACGCCCCTGGTTGGGACCTCGCTGTCGCATTGCATATCACGCAGCAAAGCCCTGACCTCTGAAGAAGGAACAATTGCTCAACTAAGATGTTGCATGTCATGATGTGGAATGCCGGTTCCTGGTCAGCATTGAACGGACGGTGTGCGCTCGATCCGTGCCTTGATGCCTGGATCAAACTGCTCACGGAAGGGGGGTCACCTGCGGTTCCGAGCACCCCCTCTGCTGCACCTTGGCCTTGACCCTTGGTGAAGGTGTCCAAGCGGTCGCGGATGCCACGAAACTGGCGTTGCTGCTCAGCTGCTGGCGACGGCTGGTTGGCGCCCGAACTCGCAGCTCCTCGAATAGGTGGTGGATCAGCGTTATCGTCCTTGTCGCCTCCAGGTGCCGAGGCTATGGCGGCGCCTTCTGTCGCTGCATTGCGCGTCTTGGCCACCAGTCGTTCTTTCTGGGTATCGGCAAGCCTCGCGCGCAACTCTTTGGCCCTGTTGAGCACCTCCTGGCGGTCCTCATCTGTCTCGACACCCTCTGGCAAGCGCACAGCGCCCCGAGGTCGAACTCGAGCGCGTCAGCTTTGCCTTCGACCAGCTCCTCCAGGCGCACATTGGGGGCAGTCTTGGTCGCGCCAGGCGCAAATTGGGCCTCGTGGGCAAGTCGGTCGGCCAGTTCCGCATGTAGCTTATCTTTCTCGGCCAGCGCTGCTCCAATCGGGCAACTGGTTGGGGCCGCAGCCTGGGCGAGCGCTTGCCGCTCGGATTGGCGTCTCCTGTTTCTCAGCGATGCCCAGCAAGGCAACGAGCTCAGTCTCGGTGGGGCCATCGGGCGCGGCGCTGGCCGAGGACGTAGCGCGCTGACCAGGAGCAGGAAAAGCGCCAGCAGGAAGCGTCGCCATGGCGATGCCAGACTCGATCCCAGATGGCCACGTATCCCGCCTGCTGGAATATCCCCGCGCCTTCGGCCACGTCCACCCTGGATCCGGAGTGAGCCAATCCGGTTATTGCGGCCGCGTGGCGTGGCAATGCTTGCGCCATCCACATGACTGTTCGTTGCGCGCGCATCCACACTGCAAACACTTCAATCCTGCTGAGCGAAGCAGAGGAGGAGGAGGAGGAAGAAGCGGCGGAGGAGGAGGAAGAGGACAAGGAAGCGAAGAAGGAACAGGAAGAGAAGGAGGAGGAGGAGGAGTTTTAAACCCGCGTGCTCACGCCCGCGAGTGGGCGCCCCTGGTCTCGGCACCCCGCGCAAGGAAACGCGCCCGAGGCGGGGTGGGCCAGCGGCCTCATCTCACGGCGTCCTGCTGCCGCCACTCGTGGACTCCTGGAGTCGCCCCGCGAGCGGCGGCAGTCTGAAGAAATGCTGCCGCCGCCCACTCAGGGCTTGAGGAGCAGCTCGATGGACGGCCGCGGCCGCTCCTCCGCCCTGCGCTCTTCCAGGGGCCGCGCAGGCCGCTGGTCCCTGGACTCGTGGGCCTTCACGGCCTCCTTGCCAAGCGCAAAGCTGTGGCCTAACCCCTCGCCACGCTGGGGTGCATTGCGGCCTAGACCCTCGCCGCGCAGGGGTCCTCCGTGGCCTAACCCCTCGCCGCGCTGGGGCCTGCTGCGGTCTGGCCCCTCACCGCGCTGGGGTGCTCCGTGGTGGCCTAACCCCTCGCCGCGCGGGGGTCTGCTGCGGTCTAACCCCTCACCGCGCTGGGGTCCGTCGTGTCCTGACTCCTCGCCACGCTGGGGGTTAGCGCGGTCTAACCCCTCACCGCGCTGGGGAAAATCGTGGCCTTACCCCTCGCCGCGCTGGGGGCTGCTGCGGTCTAACCCCTCACCGCGCCGGGGTGTTCTGTGGCCTAACCCCTCGCCGCGCAGGGGCCTGTTGCGGTCTAACCCCTCACCGCGCTGGGGTCCTCTGTGGCCTAACCCCTCGCCACGCAGGGGCCTGCTGCGGTCTAACCCCTCACCACTATGGGGTCTGCTGTGGCCTAACCCCTCGCCGCGCTGGGGATCGTTGCGGTCTAACCCCTCACCGCGCTGGGGTACTCCGTGGCCTAACCCCTCGCCGCGCAGGGACCTGCTGCGGTCTAACCCCTCACCGCGCCGGGGTCCTCTGTGGCCTAGCCCCTCGCCAGGCGGGGGCCTTCTGCGGTCTGCCCCCTCGCCGTGCCGGGGCCCTTCGTGGCCAGAACCCTCACCATGCTGGGGTCTGCTGCTGTCTAACCCCTCACCGCGCTGGGGTCCTCCGTGGCCTAACCTCATCGCCACGCTGGGGTCCTCTGCGGTCTGCCAGGTGGAACCCGATGCTGTGCTGTACCTCTGGGCTCTGCTGGTGGTTGTAATCGCTGTCCTGCTTGTCTGCGGGCTGCTGGAGGCAATCCTCGCTGTTCTCCTCGTCTAGGAAGTGGACGAGGTCTGCCTTGTCCATGGTGCCCCGTCCTGCTGGTGGGGGGACGGGCACCCCTCTGCATCCCGTCTGGCGCAGGGCTGTGGCCTAACCCCTCGCCGCGCTGGGGTCCTCTGCGGCCTACCCCTTCGCCGCGCAGGGTTCCACGGCGGCCTGCCCCCTCTCCGCGCAGGGGCCTGCTGCGGTCTAACCCTTCACCGCGCTGGGCCCCACTTTGACCTGACCCCTCGCCTCGCTGGGGGTCGGTGCGGTTTTGCCCCTCACCGCGCTGGGGCCCTCCGTGGCCTGACCTCTCGCCACGCTGGGGCCCTCTGCAACCTGCCATGTGGCACCCGATGCTGTTCTGGTGATCTGGGGTCTGCAGGTGGTTGTCATCGCCGTCCTGCTTGTCCGCGGGCTGTTGGGAGCTGTCCTCGCTGTTCTCCTCGTCCTGGGAGAGGCCATGGTGAAACATGCCCGTGGTGCTCCGTCCTGCTGGTGGGGGGCGGGCGCCCCTCTGCACCCCGTCTGGCGCAGGGCTGTGGCCTAACCCCATCGCCACGCTGGGGTCCTCTGCGGCCTACCCCCTCGCCGTGCAGGGGCCATTCGTGGCCTAACCCCTCGCCACGCAGGGGACCTCCGCGGTCTTGCCCCTCGCCGCGCTGGGGCCCGCTGTGGCCTAACCCCTCGCCGCGCTGGGGGTCTGTGCAAACTGCCCCCTGACCGTGTCTGGAACCTCCATGGTCTCGCCCCAAGCCACGCTGGGGGCCGTTGCGTCGTGCCGCCTCGCGAGGGTCCTGCCGCTGGGTCTTCCTGCGCTCCACTCCACTGTTGAGCCAGGCCATGCGGCAGATGTCCTCTGCCGCTCTGCGCTGGCTGTTTTGTCTGCTTGGCCCTGGGATGTCACCGAAGAGCCGCTGGCATGGACTTGTCTGGAGCTCCCTCAGCACATGGGGTACGCAAGCCGCACCCCACGTTTGCCAGCCTCTCTCTCCTGCTTGCTGTGCCCAGCCTCCTGCCAGCGTCTGCATGAGAAGCTCCAGGCGGTTCCTCACAAGCCAGGCCAGCTCACGCTCTGGGTCTTTTTCATCTCCCCGTTGCTGGCCGAGTCGCGGGTGCTGCGTGCCTGCCTCCTTGGCCTCCCTCACGTACTTCATAAGGTTGGGCCCTGTCGGCTTGGCGATCCATGGCGTCCCCTGCTTGGTCGCGCTGGCCTCGACGCTGGTTGTAGCTTCGCTGTGCTGTTCTAGCGCCTCGACGATGTCCATGCCATGGTCACTGTCATGGCCTTCCTGCTATGGTACCTCGCTGTCTGGTTGCGTTGAGTCGTCGTCCAGTTGCTCTGGGGTCCACGCCCTGTAGCCATCCGCCGTGCTGGGTAGTGGCCTGCGCTCACTGCTGGGGATGCTGTGGGTGATGATGATCGACCGCCTGCCCTGGAAGGCTTCCGTGTGTGCCCTTGCCGCCTGCGGACTGGGGCCGTGCGGGAGGGTGAGCACGTGTGTCATGGGCCTCCTTCTCGCCTTGCGGGTGCTCTTCCAGGTGTCCTCGCAGAACTCGCTGATCTGCTGGATCTCCCTTGGCGTGGCTTCTTCTGGTCTTGGACGTCCGTCCTACTTCTTGTGGTGGCGGCTTGCAGGTACGGGACACTGTGCTCCATCCAGTCGTCCTTGTCCTCCCACGCATCCTGGTCCACCATGTTCATCCACTGCTCCGCGCAGCCCGCCATGTGGTCCACAAGCTGCCAGCTCGCCTGGGCTGCTGGGTGGGGATGCCTTGGCGTTGGTGGCTGAGCTTGCCGCGGTGCCTCTGCTTCCGAGCTTTCTCCGTCCAGATCGATCACCTCTGCGCTGCTCACCTTTGGGTTGAAACCCGCAGCCTTGACCTCCTCTGGTGGCGCAGCTGCCGCTTGGTCCTCGTCATGTGTTGCTCTTCGCGGCAGCCTCCCCTTCTGCAGGTCCATAATGACTCTGCGCCCCGCTGCGGTGGGCGGGACACATGGCTTGGCCAGCTTGCGAGCAACGCCTGCAACGATTCGGCTCTTGTGGTTCCCAAGGTAACTTGTGGCCCCACACTTCTCGCACCAGAGCCAGCCCTGCGCGAGCTGCGTCTTGTGGGTGTCGTGGACGACCCGCGTGCCGATCTGCACTGTCTTGAAGTCGAGCCTCACGTTCCCGTGCTGGTCCAAGTGGCTGCTTTCTCTTCCCTGGCACTCTCCCGTCTCTACTAGCCAGGCTCGTGCACTTTGCCCTTTGGTGGGGCCACTTCTGCATGTCGTACGCCACCATCTCGGATGTAGTTTGCGCAGGTCATGGCCGAGCTGTGCTGCCTTCTCCCTTGCATTATGAGGCCTTTTGCGCTTGGTCTTTGACCGCTGAGCCACCTTATTGGGATCCTCAACCATCACCACCATACTGATGCCCAGCAGCCTGTTCTGGACTGACACCGTGATCTGGTCCCTGATCTGCTGCTGCGCAATTATGGCTGGGTCCAGCGCTCCGTGCTCCGCTCCCCAGCCTGCGCACGTGTCTGCCATCTCGTTGCCTATGACCCACCACGCTGGCCCTGTCCACCTTTCCAGCTCCGCCGGGTGCTCGATCATGTGGCTGGGGATGTGGTGGCCCATGATGTGGTCGGTGCTGTTCTGGAGTTGCCGCTTGGCCATGGGCCAGAGGTCGAAATTGGTGCTCCTGTAATCGAGGTCATCTGGGTCTTGGATCTGCTTGAGGGCGTCCAGGGCGAACTTGCAATCGCTGGCGATGTTGAGCCCCCATACTGAGGCCGCCGTCGTGTAGCCGATCGCCATGCTCATGGCCGTGAGCTCCGCCCGTGGCACCGTGTGCGGCGCCCTTATCGTGCCGCGCCACGCTGCCACCTCCTGGGGCAGGCCGTCCTGGCCGCACCTGAAGGCCACCACAGCCCAGCCGCATCTCCGTAGCCTGGGGTCCTTGGCTGTCTCACCAGCCCCCCCTGAGCCGTCCGTGAACACGTAATCGGCATGGACTTTGTGGCCCTCCTCTGCACTGCTGCTTGAGCCGCCGCGCTGGTGCAGAAGATGTGTGCCGCCTTCTTGACATCTTCATCTGGGTCAACTTTTACTGCCCGTGCTGCTGGCGGGATCCCTCTGAGCCAGAAGTGCTCGTCCTGCTGCTGGTCGAGCGCGTCCTTGGCCTTCTTGACTAGCTCTGTGTCGTTGCTGTAGCCGATCTCTTCGTTCGCGGGGCAGGCGTAGTAGCGGTGCTTCTCCGTCTCGCTGGCCGCTCCGCACCTAGCGCATGTGTCTTCCCCTTCCTGGTTGGGGTCCGCTGCTCTGCGCCGCTCCCGCGTCCAAATGCCTGCCGCTGCGATGGTCTCCAGCATGGCCGCCTCAGCGTGTTGCCCTTTGCGTCGCCTCCTCCTCAGGTGTCTTTGCAGCTGGTAGAGGTCGCCCCCTTCCTTCAGTCCTGCGCCGTGCCGATGCTCTGCCGCTTGCTGCCAGAGCTGTTGCTGAGCGCTCAACTGGACCTCCTGGAGGAGCGCTCCGAAGTGTGGGATGTCTTCAGGTCGGTAGGCCCACTCATCTCCTGCTGGACTGGTCCAGCTATCCAGCCGCCTTGGGTTCCATTCCCAGCCCCAGCAGCTGCACGATGACTCCTGCCATGGGGCCCTTTACCTGGTCCCACCTCCTGTTGGGCTCCAGGGCATGCAGCTTGCCATACAGCAAGTGCCAGCCTCTCTGGTACCTCTTGAGCTCCGACGGGTGGTCCACAATGGTGAGCCAAAACTGCTTGACTTGGTCCACGATGGCCCTGGTGACCGCCTCCTGCGCGCCCCTCTGGATGAGGAGTATGGCGGCTGTGCATCTGCCTGCTTTGTGCCCTCCTGTGAGCAGCGCTGCTTCTGCGGCCCTGACCATGATCGCCTCCGTGGGGGTGACGCCGTGCGCTGGCAGGTCCCAGGCTTGTTGGCAGTAGGCACCCGCTGCGTATACCTTGGCTGCCCCTCTGGCGTCCGACTTAGCTAGGTCCTTGAGCTTTTCTATGCGCTGCTTTGCTTTCGCCTGTCTGGCTGCATGGGTGGGCCGCTTCAGCTGCTTGCCCAGCCCCGTATCCACGCCCAGGTCTCGGACCACTCCTGGCTGCTTGTTCGGGGTGCCCAGGCCATCCAGGATGGTGGCGATCTCCTGCTGAAGGTCTTTGTCGGAGGCCACGACTGCAGTCTTGAAGGAGATCGGGATGGAGAGCCTCGCGAAGCCCTGATGCACCAAGGCGGCCACGTACCTCACCTGCTCTATGACCTGCTTTCTTGCCCCTTCGATCTGCAGGGCCAGGTCGTCCAGATACTGCTGGATCACCACGTAGATGTAGTTCGCGTGCGCTGCCTCCAAGATGTCGTAGAGGAGCGGCCTCGTGAGGTCCACGGCCTGGCCACAACCTGCCGCCATGCTGTTGGCCGGCTCGAAGATGTCGGAGAAGAGGCTGTGGGCCATGATGGCCCTCGGCGCCAGGTACATCTGTGCTGCCATGGCCAGGGGCAGCAGGGGGTAGTTGAGGTCGCTGGCCTTCTCGATCAGCTGGTCGAGGCCTATGTCGTCAAAGAAGTTGGCTGCATCGTAGAAGGTGCCTGCTGCATGGAAGCCCATTTGCACTGCCGCCTCTGCCCTCATCAGCCTGTGCGTCGCCACTCTGAGCGCTGAGGAGCCTGCCACTGCCGTGTCCCAGAAGCCTGCTGCCTCCTTGCTCCAGGTGGCGATGATGGGCCGTCTGGCCGCACTCCAGATGCGGTAGGGCATGGGCATTAGGCCAATGGGTCGCTCTCCTCCTATGCCTGGCTTTTTGCCCAGCAGCAGCTCCAGCACCAAGTGGAACTGCCATGGCCACGCCGCTCGCTCCTCGCAGTTGCGGAGGCACTGCGCGAAATCCATGAGCCCCTGGGCGCCCATAGCCTTTAGTTCTGGCGCTCTCCACCAATCAGCTCCCTGGCCCGCATTGCGCCTCAGGTGCTGGATGGCGGAGCCGACGACGTCCTTGCCGAGTGGCTCGAGCGCATTCTCTTGCTCTAATGCTGCCGTCCTCAGCTTGCCCAGCGCGCCCTGGATCTGGTCTGCCTTGCGCGCATCACGCGTCCATATTCTCTGCCACGCGCCCTTGCGCAGGTCCACCAGCCGCTGCGGGTGCGAGACCACCTGGCCCTCGTGCTCTAGGATGTCCTCGATGTGGCTGCGCTCCGCTGCCTCGGTGTAGGCGTGGGCCATCTTGGCGCTGCCTGCCGCGGCGTCGTGCACCCAGTGGGTGTGCGCTCTCTTCACCGCCTTGGTGAGGTAATTGGCTGCGCCCCTGACTTCTTCAGCGACCTGGTGGCAAGTGGCTGGGCCCACCAGGGCCCCCTTGGCGATCCTGCCTAGCGTCGCCAGGAGGTTCTGCTGACGCTCCTTGGCCTCGCCCTCTTCGTTGCACCTGCCGCAGTCTGGTTGTTGTAGCTGGCATGCGAGCTGTCGACGCGCGTGGGCCTGCTGCAGCGTGCGGTGACCGCTCTGGTTGCGGGGCTGCTGCGGTGGCCGACTCCTCTGTCCTCTGCCTGCTGCAGTGGGCTCGTCATGTGGTCGTCGTGCTGCTCCTCCTAGTTATGCTGCTGGCTGGCGGTCTTCTCTGGGTCTTGGTGCTCTTGCGCCTAGCGCCTCCCTCATCATCTGCCTCAGCGCTGCGAGCTCCCGCCAGTTCGTATCTCGTCATGGGCTCCTGCTTTGCTAGGCCCGTGAGGAATCCTCGACGGCGTGGGGCTGCCTGCCGCCACGCTCGCTCGCAGAGATCCCTGAGGACATCGCCGAAGCTGGCGCGGGGTTGCCAGCGCCTGAGGAGCCGCTCTAGGCCAACGTTGCCGCCGTTTGCGAAGACCTCCCCCAGGAAGGGCGGGCTCAATTCCAACCGGTTGGTGTTGTCCACTGGTGCCTGGCTCAGGCCGTCCATCCTGATTGCGGCCCTCCACTCCAGGTTATCTCTCATGCTCGCAAAATCATCGCGTTCCCTCTGGTGACGTTCGTCATTCCAGAGGTCTGGTGGGGGAAGGCCCATGTCGCTTGGCTGTTCATTATGATCCCCTTGGTGGTCGGTACCCTCTGCCCCCGAATCGCCACCTGGCTGCGGGGGTGAGCTGTGCGCGCCACCTGGGGCAGTATTTCCTGATCCTCCAGCATGGCGACGAGTGCCCTGGTGGCCCTTGATGCTCTCCTGCTGGTCAAGGACCTGCTGGTGGTAGTCCTCACCGTCCTGCTTGTCTGAGGTGTGCTGGGGGCCTTCACCGTTGTCCCCTTCGGCGTTCCCCCCCTGCGACTGGTTCCCGATGTTGCCCTGGGGAGGAGGAGAGGGAGGGGGGGAGGAGGAGGAGGAGGAGGAGGAGGAGGAGGAGGAGGAAGAGGCGGAGGAGGAGGAAGAGGACAAGGAAGTGGAGAAGGAACCGGAGGAGAAGGAGGAGGAGATCAGGAGATCAGGAGCCTGAGGGCGCCGTCTGACTGGCAGACAGCGCCTCGGGGGACCTCAGATGAGGTCGATGGCCAGGCCGAACGACACGACGACCGCGTCTGCGCCTGCGCCGCGGCGCCGCCCGACCTGCGCGAGGTGGGCCGCGCCGCTGCCATGGAGGCCGCCGCCAAGCCCCCCTCGCCTTCGCGTTTGGGGGGCGCGGCCTGCGGCCAGCGCGACGCGCCGCCGCCGCCGCTGGGCGCGCAGAGGGGCAGCGACAGGGCGCGCTCAGGCAACGCCCTCGCCCGCGTCGCTGCCCTCGCCGCCGCTGTGCCCCTGCGAATCCGCCTGCGCGCCGAGGCGGCCCTGGCTCTCGCGAGGCGCCGCCGCCGCCCCAGGCCGCGGCCTGCGGCGCATCGCCCGAGCCCAGCCCAACGCAGGCGGCAGGCCCGCAGGCGCCGCCAGCCAGCTGCGGAGGCAATACACCTCGCACCTCCGCACGCCGCCGGTGACGCACCGCTGGCTTAGCGTGAGGCCCGAGCGATACCTGGCGCAGGCACCGCGCAGCCTCGCGCCGCGGCTCCAGGCGCGGCGGCACCACGCCTCCGCCAGCTGCCGAGCCGCGCTGCCCATCGCCCTGGGGAACCGCCGCCACCTGGGCTGGTCGAAGACCGCCTCCACGTACGGGGCGCAGTGGTCGAGCCAGTCGCTGGCCGCGCTGCCGGCGTCGAGCAGCGGCTCGGTCCACCGCGGCCCCCAGCGGTCCAGCCTGCGCTCCGGGGCCAGCGGCCGCGGCGGCCGCTGCGGCAGGGCCGCCCTGGGCGGCGGCCGCGCCACGCGGATGCCGCGCCGCCGCAGCCGCGCGGCAAGGCCCGCGGGCGCCGCCCTGGGGGGCGCCCCAGCGCCGCCGCAGAGCCGCTCGGCCCGCGCACGGAGCCGCCGCAGCAGCGCCTGCCTCCGCACTGCCCATGACACGGCGCGGCCCCCAACAGCGCACCCCTGCGCCTTGGGAACGCTGCCAGCCCCACCAGCGGCACCGCGCGCCAGGCCAGCCTCGCGCGCCGCCACGCGCCGCCGCAGCACCTCCAGCCGCTCCTGCCAGGACGGCGCTGGCGCCGCGCAAGCGCTGCGGCGCGCCGCGACCTCCGCAAGCAGGCGGCTGGCCTCCGTGCGCCCGCCCCTCGGCGGCACAGGAGCCCCGAGCGTCGCGGTGCTCTGCCCGCCCGCCAGCGGGGCCTCCACCGCGCGCCCGCCTCGCAGCACCGCGGGGGCCCCGCGTGTCGCGGTCTCCTGCGCATCCGCCAGCCGGGCCTCCTCCGTGCGCCCGCCACGCGGCGATGCGGGGGACCCGCGTGTCGCGGCCCCCTGCGCGTCCGCCAGCGGGGCCTCCACAGAGCCCTGGGCCACGACCGCCTCGTCGGTCCTCGGAGCTGGCGTCGACCGAACTGCGCTCGTCGTGCACCAGCGCACCCGCGGCCCATGACCTGCCCGTCTTGGGGGGCCCAGACCACGCAGCAACCTGTCCCTCCTGGCCGCCAGGTTGCTGACGCAGGTGCGCAGGCGGCACCCCTTGTCGGTGGGCGGCCCGCAGCACGCCTTCTACAGCCCCCATCGCCGTTCGGGCCTGCATCCACGCGACGCAGACCCCGCAGAAGATGGTGGGCCCCGCGCGCCGCAGCCGATGCCCGACGTGCAGCACCACGCCACAGGCGTCACCCTCATGCACCCAAGGGTTCGGCCTCTGCGCCAGCTTGCAGGGCCTGCCACCGTCGCACGGCTGCAGCGCCTCGGCCTCCAGGACCTCAGCGTCACCCATCCAGCATGGCCCCGCGCCGAAATGCGCCACCTCTGCCGCCGCCTCGAGGCGTGCCAGTGGCGTCGGCATACAGCTCGACCCGATGAACTGCGGCGCCGCCGCACCTGCCTCAGCATGGGATCGGCGCCCGCGCTCGACGCACGGCGCCCCGCGCTTGCCCTGCGCGCGCACCAGGGAATGCTCCGCCACCGTCAGCTTCGGCGCGGGCGGCGGCGGCGCCGCGGGCGCGTAGCGCACCACGGGGGCCCAATCCCCGATGGCCAGGCAGCGCTGCATGGCCCATCCGATGCAGTCCGCCACCTGCTTGAAGTACCCCACCTCGATGGCGTAGAACTCCGTGTGCACCTGGGACACCGCGCGCTGCAAGGCCCACAGGTTGCCCACAGGTTGCCCGCGCACAGCACTGGGTAAAGCCCCGCCACCAAGTACACGTCGACGCCCTGGCGCGCGGGGGCCAGAACACTTCGGGGCGGCATGGCTGCTGCCGCAGGTGCTTCCACACCGTGGCGCGCACCGCCTGGGTTCGCTCGAGCTCTGGCCCCCAGCAGCTAGCCCCCTGGGCCAGCGCCAGCAGGTCAGTGGCCACGAATCGCGCCTGCTGCTCCAGGAGCTCGGCGACCTGCAGGAGCGCGCGTCGCTCGGCCCGACCCACCGCCTGAAGGGCCCCGAAGGCCGCGCGAACGGGCACCCCGCTGGAGCCGAGCTGGACCAGCGACCACCCGCAGCGCCTCAGCTCGGGCAGGCGGCTCGCAAATTCCGAGCCATCGGTGGACGAAATGTTCCCGCGCTGCTCGTCGCTCGCGCCGCTCCAGCCACCCCAGAGCCCGACCTCCGCCTCGTCGGCCGCAGGCGGCGCGCGCGGCGGCAGCACGGGGAGCCCGACCTCAGGCGCGAACCCGCTGAAGTCCGCGACATCCACGGCGCCTGCCTGCAGGCCCGTGTCACGCATAGTGGCCCATGTCTGCTGCAGTCGGTGAGGGAGGACGTCCTGCTCTTCAGACGACGCGCACAGCAGGGCCTCGCAATCGTACAGCCTGTGACCAAGGGCTTCCGCCTCCGTTCTGCACGCCAGACAGCTGCCGTCGGAAGCGACCCAACATCTAGCTGCCCCTGCCTGGCCCACGGCGCGCCTGCCCAGTGGATTCTGAGGCTGGCGGCAGCAGGCCCTTCGGCAGCAGCGGCACCCTTGCCCCCCACGCACAGCCTCAGGACCCGCATCCAGATCGGCCCCGTGGGCTGCGCGCCGCCGAAGTGGCTCAGGATCTGCCACCCTTGCCAGCGGCTGACCCCCATCGACGAGGTAAGCCTTGAGGTCCGACGGCGAGGTGGCGAGCATGTTGATGTGCTGCTCCTCGTCAGTGACCAGCACCAGGGTAGACCACATGAACCAGCCGATCCCCCAGAGCGCGAGCGTCGTCGAGGCGACCAGGCCGCGCGCCATCCCCCATGTCGGCTTCTCGACCAGCCGCAAAGTGATGGAGGCCCAGGCTCGCTGAAGCCTGCCCAGCAATGTCCTCTGCTCCCAGATCCAGCTGGAGTACCTGACCACGAGCGCCACCGTCGCCTCGTAGACTGGATCAAACCTCGCGCTGCGCAGCGTGGCCAGGTAGATCGTCGCGCCCGACGGGCCTGGCCGCGCCCCCGCCAGCCGGCCCCTCTGCAACTCGTCGTCGGAGACCCCCACGACGCCCGCGCCAGCCCCGCGCGCCACAGCACGGCGACCTTGCGGCCAGCAGCACGCTTCAGCGCCGCCAGGCGCCCGCGCCGCCGCGCCGGCGCCTTCAGCCGCAGCTTGGCCTGCAGTCGCTGGATCCTGCCTCCTCCAAGGTCATGCCCTAGATTGCGAGTCCAGTGCAGCAGCTGCAAGCCGCGGGAACCCGCGTGCTTCCTGCTCTCTGCGCCAAGGCCCTTGGACGAGGTCACGTAGCCAGACTTGGCGGGCTGCACGATGATGCCCAAGTGCTTGGCCTCCTCGCGGAAGCGCGTGACCGCGGCCCAAGCGACGCTGACGTCGCTGCCCGCGGCCCTGACCCACTGAAGGGTGACGTCGTCCACGAGGGCCCTGGGAGTGAGGCCCGCGCAGCGCGCCCGCCCCAGCACGCGGCACATCAGCACCGACACGAGCGCGCACGCGCGCGCGCGTCCAGCCAGCACCCCTCGGTAGGACACAACCTCGTACGACGCCGAGACGAACGCTTGCAGCCGCCCGGGCTGCCTGCGCAGCTCCACCAAAAGCCAGACCAGCGGCAGCGGCATCTTGAGCAGCCGCGCCTCCTGGATCAGGGCCTCGGGGATCACCGTCTGATAGAATTTCCAGGCGACCGGGAACACGGTGACCACCTGCTCCTCCAACGCGACCGCTACTTCGGTCTCGAGGTTCAGGTCGAACGCTGCATCAGACGACGACCTGCCCGCGCCGAGCCCCCATATGTCGACGCTGGGGTGCTGCGCGAGCCAGCCCTTGGAGATGTCCGCCCGCGCCCTCGACCACCAGCGCACCAAATAATGCAGGAGCGCGATGAGGCGGCGCCCCCCAGAGGGCCCGGGCAGCCCACGCATGGCGCGCTACAGGCGGCCCTCAGGCCACGCGCCCAACTTCTCTATTCGCATGAAGAGCTGCGCGCAAACATACATGCCGTCCTCGGACAGGCAGGACAGGGCACGCATGCCTATCTTGGCAGGCCCCATCGCCGTGCTCGCGGGGAATGAGAGCGCAGCCCTCTTCATCTTGTCGACGGTGAGTCCGGGCAGCGCATCCCACTCCTCAGTGCCCGCAGGCCTGCGCGGCTGCTGCAGCCCATGGCACCGCCAGACCTTTGCCCACGGCTACATATCCGGATCGCACACCAGGCGCGGGCTCGCACCCTGCTGCTGGCCATGCAGGCCGTGAGTGATCACCTCCTGCAAGTCCCTGGCCTTGGAGCACCGATGAGCGCGGCCAGCGCCGTGGGAGAAGGATTCGTTGGCCCACTTGACCCACTCCTCCTGCTGCGCCGCGGTGGCGACATCTTGCGCATTCCAAGACCCTCGACGCCTGGCCCGCGAAATCGGCCCGCGCGAACATCAACATCCGCTGGCCGAAGAAGACCTGCACCCAGTGCGGCAGCAGCGCCAGCGCGCCGCGGCTGGAGATGATCTCGTCGAGGCACGCCGCCGCCTCCAGCAGGAACCCCGTCAGCACGTCAAACTGGGCGTCGAACAGCGGGCAGAGGAGGCCGGCGCCGCGGAGTTGGTGGACCGCTTTGGCGACGCACGCCCCGACCCCATCAGGTGCCGAGCCCGCCTCGACGCCACGCGGCGCGCCGCGGCCCGGCGACCAAGCGCGGTCCTGCGTCGAGGGGGTCGCCACTCGATAGCGACGATGGTCGTCTGCAGATCGCCAGACCTGCCGACGTACTTGGCCCTGTCGTGCCCGACGACGTCGCGACAGTCCAGAAGCTCCAGCTCGACTGTAGCCACCACCGCGCCCCAGGCCTCGGGGAGGTGCTCTCGGCTGACGGCTGCGCGCACCTTGGCCAGGGGCCCGCGCCAGTCCTCGACGCCGCGGCTGCAGCCCACGGGCGGCGCGGGGCCGATCGGCCGCGGCCCCCTCACCACCCGCACCTGCGTCGGAAGGTCCTGCGCGCGCCACTCCATTGCGACGGGCAGGCGCACTCGTCAACCTGCGGCCTGCCAAGCCTCGGAGCGAGGTTGGCTGCGAAGAGGAAATCGCCCAGCGTCGGCCAGGCCCCATCACGCGGCCTGCAGGTGGCATCCTCTGCCGCCGCCCACGACCCACGGACCCCATGGAGCTGCTGCGCAGGAAACTTCGCGGGCTCCACGTTGAAGTCACCGCCCACGATCCAGTCGATCCCAGCCGCGCTGAGCTTGGCCAGATACTTCATTAGAACGGCCGCCACGTGCTGGTTGTCCGCGTTCCACCCCACACTGTCGTGGAAGTACGCAGAGATGGCGACGAACCCGCCCGCCACTCCCCAGCGCACGCGGGCGGCCGCCAGTCGCGCGGCCAGGAGCACGGGGCTCTACAAGAAAGGCGGGCTGGCGACTGCGATGCGCGAGCGCGCAAGCACCGCCACCCCGCCAGAAGCGCCTGCCTCTCCACGGGGCCCCTGAACAGCTGGCGCCCAGAGCCCCGCGCACCCGTGGTCCAGCGCGGCCTGCTGCAAGGTAGCCAGCCTGTCGTGGTCCCTGGCGCGGTGCTCCTGGACCAGGAGGGCCACGGCCTCTGCCCGCTCGCAGATGCCCTCGGCGCATCGTGCAAGGGACCCCCCCGCCGCCACGTCTGCCGCGAAGATGCTGCCCTTCGCCATGGCGCCAAACCACGTGCTGAGGAACAGCAGGATCCTAGCAAGGCCGATGCCCCCGCTGGCCAGCGCAGCGCAGCGGGCACGCACGGCCGACTCTTCGCCGCCATCGAGCTCCAGGCCGTGCTTCCGCAATTGCTGCTGGAGCAGCTCCACCGACTCCTCCTCAGGCTGCCAACGCGGCACGGCGGCTGAGCCGCCGCCGCTTCCAGGCGCCGCTGCCTCGGGCGCTGGCTGGGACCGCCCGCCCCGCCCTGCGCCCTCACGCACCACTCCTGCGGCGCTGGCAGGGCCCTGGCTGGCGCTGGCCTGCTCCTCGGCGGGGGCCTCCTCGCGCCGCGCCCGCTTGGACATGCACAACTCCGCAATGCGCTCGCCCAGCACGGCTGCCACGCGCTTCTGCGCCTCCGCTGGCACAGGCTGTTCCTAATTCGGGTGGGCCGAGAGCTGCTGCAGCACAGCGGCCTCCAGCTCGCCCACCGCGATGCCGAGCCCGCCGATGACGTCCTGCGCCATGGCCTGGACCGCAGGCCGCGGCGGTGGAGCCTGGGGCGCCTGCTGCTGCAGCTGCGCCAGCTCGGCCTGCAGCGCCGCCTGCTGCTCCAGGAGGTCGGCGTGCACCTTCTCCGCGCGCTCAACCTCCTCCACAGCCCGCCGCAAGGCCGCCTGCGCCTTACGTGTGTTGCCCTCCGCCTTCTCCAGGCGTTCGGCGCCCTGCGTGGCCCTATTGGCGATGGCATGCGTCCGTGCGTGGAGCGGCTTGCTGGCGAAGAGCCGCGCCTTGGCCGTTTCCAGCCTGGCGCGCAGCTCCTCCCGCGGCGCCGTGGCCCAGTCCGCCGTCTGATCCTTGATGGCGCGCAGGCCCAACTCGCACATGTGGATCTCGGCGAGCACCGCCGCGTCGCCAGCACCAGCGCCCTCGCCGTCGTCGACCTCCATGGCCTGCGCCCCGCCGAACGGCCCGCCAGCGCAGGCAGGCCCACCGGCCTTGAGCTGCTTCTTGAGGTCCGCAAGCTCGCGCCGCGCCTGGGCCAACTGCACCGCGAGCGGCGGCCCAGCCCAGGGAGGGGCCTTGCCGCTGCCGCCGCCAGGCGCCGCGCCCGACTTCGTGTTCGACTTGGCCGCCGCAGGGACCGGGACGCTCGCCCAGAAACACGTGGCTGTGGGCAGCCTGCAGCCCTGACACTTGAGCGCCGTCCCCCAGTTGACGACCGCTCGCCCTCTCTTGTTGGCGCAAGACTTGCACGTCCAGTCCTGCCGCACAGCGCCCTTGGCCCGCGGCACGCCGGCAGCCATCTTGCGCTCGTTGTCGCCGTCGCCGCCGCGCCTCCAGTGCCCGCCAACGCCAGGAGCCGCCCGCGCGCTGGCGCAGGCAATGGTCCTGACCTGTGGAGACAGGCCGCGCGAAACGAAAGCTGCCGCGGACCAGCGGTATCCGTTTGGCCCCCGCGGGAACCGCACATTTTCAGCCAAATGGCTACGGAGAAGGAGGAGGAGGAGGAGGAGGCGGAGGAGGAGGAGAAGAGTGTCCTGGAATGTCCTGGACCTTTGTGGGTCCCGGAAACGGCAAGGCCGTTTTTTTCACCGCTTCCGAAACAAAAATCTTGAAAATGGAAACGGCAAAAAAACGGCGACCGGAAACGGCAACAAAAACGGCGACAGGATTGGGACCGGCGCCGGAACCGGTCAAATAACGGCGACGGAACCGGTAAAAAAACGGCGTCGGAACCGGCGAAAGAACAACGCCAAAACGGAATCGGTAAAAGAAAACTGCCCCGTCGCTTCCAGGGCCCACGGAGTCCTGGGCGCCAGTCTCCGTGGCAGCGGGCACTACGCGGCGCAGAACGCGCCAGGCACCCTGCGCTGCGCCTGGCCGCGCCGCACTCGGCTGGCGGCAGCCTCCAAACCCAGACCCCCGACGTAATGATTTTTTCATTACGTCGACCCCCAGAGGTCCCGACCCATTCCCCGGGACCGGTTTTGCATCCCGAGTCGTTTTTTGACGCTCCCGAGGCCCGGTGAGGGCCCCCAGAGGCCGAAAATTAGGAAAAACCTCCCGTCATGATTTTTTCATTACTCGAGGGGGTCTGGGAAGCGAGGGCCGCGGGGCCACGATGGCCAGGGAGAGGCGGGCGGAGAAGGCGGGCGGGGCGCCTTCTTGCGCTGGGACCTCCGCCGCCGCTGCTCCTGCGGGCGGCCGGGGCGCGCGGACGCTCGCGGCTCCGCCGCCGCCGCGCGGCGTCCCGGGCCGCCCCCGCGGGCGTGCGGCAAGCTCCGGAGGCCTCTGGAAGCTCGTGGGCTCCTCCCCCTACTGTTGGCCCCCTCCTCACACCTCTCCCAGGCGCCCGCTCAGCCCCCCGAGCCCGAACTCGGCGCGTCTTCCCGCGTGTTCGCTGCTCCTCCTCCTCCTCCTCCTCCTCCTCCTCCTCCTCCTCCTCCTCCTCTTCCTCCTCCTCCTCCTCCTCCTCCTCCTCCTCCTCCGTGTCTGCCCCCCCGCCCAGCGGGGGCCCAAGGATCGGCGGCGACGGCCGCGAAGCAGGGTTCGAGTCAACCACCGCCAGGAGGAGGAGGAGGAGGAGGAGGAGGAGGAGGAGGAGGAGGAGGAGGAGGAGGAGGCAACGGCGCGCCGACGGAGCAGCAGGCAGGCGGCAAGCTCGACAAGAAGACGATGACGAGAGCTCGGTGTACGAAACGATCAAAACACCAGGGCAAAACCAAGAAGGAGATCGGCAAGATCACAGAGAAGTCCAACGCTGAATACGGCCAGACGTCCAAGCAGATGAAGGCGCAGGCCCAGCTCGGAGAGGTGGACAGGAGGAGCGCGGGCCCCCGTCCGTTTGCATTGTCGTGGCGGCGCTACGCTCCGTGATCGACGATTTGGCACCCGAAGGAGGACAGCCAAGAGAGCAAGGCGCACGCAATTCCGAGGAGCTGCTGGTCGGAGGCGATCCTGCTGTCCAACCCAATTGAGATCGGCGAAATAATGGTGACCCACTTCTGCCACAAGAAGGCGCAGAACGACGCTCCTGAGACCCGCGCTGGTGCGCTCACGGTCGCAATTCGGATTCAGGACCCTGGGATTCCAGAGGGTTCGAGAGGTGCTGACGCAGTACCTCATCAGGGTGCGATGGGGCGAAGCGGCTCTCATTACCGGCTCCTCCGAGGGGCCTGCTGGAGCGGGAGCTGGGAAAGCAGCTGGACGGGGGGAAAAGGCATGGGCAAATCGTGAGCGGGCTGCGCAGCATGTCGCAGCAGAGTGATCGGCTCCGTGAGTTGATAGCGCTCCCCTCTACTCCTGCTGTTTACTTGGCTCCTCCGCCACCCCGCCCGACAGCAGAAGTGCCGACGCCGGCGGGATGAGCCTCCAGCACTGCCGCCAACTGAAGAACGGGGCCGCTGGAGAGCCCATGATCGTGGGAGAAGGACGGGGACGCCGCCGTCGGGGGCGATGTTGTTTCCACTCAAGCGGCCTTCTCGGCCATGCTTGGTTCATAAATCTTCCAGTGGCCTGTCTGGATCACAACGAAACCAGGCGAGCTGGGTTAACAGACCTGTGGTCCGTGCCCACATGCCGCGGGTTAGTGCCGCGTCGGCCCCGACATCGGTCTCTGACACCGCGGGGATCGCTCGACCTTGAACGATCGGCCGTTTCCGAAATGTCCAGATTGTTCAACACCGAACGATTCCAGGCCGCCGCCTGCGTCCAACCTTGAACGCCAGCGGCGGGGTCGCCGCCGGTCGACACGACGCGAACCTACCGTACCTCATTTGTCACGGAGTACCTCTTGAAGGCGGCGCCAGTCGGGGTCGGGCACGGAGATCGGCCCCCAAGGAGCGGTGATCGGTCCCCGCCCGCGCCTCGCCGCGCGCCTCGCCGCCCGCAAGCTCGCGCGGTTGGCCTCGCCGCTCGGGGCGGTCTGCGAGCCTCCTCCTCCTACTCCTCCTCCCTCCTCCTCCTCCTCCTCCTCCTCCTCCTCCTCCTCCTCCTCCTCCTCCTCCTCCTCCTCCCTCCTCCTCGTCCCTCCTCCTCCTCCTCCTCCTCCTCCTCCTCCTCCTCCTCCTCCTCCTCCTCCTTCTCCAGCGCCAACTCGGTCCAAGGCCTTTCGGGGCCCTGCGGGCACGCGCTAGGGGCCCCCTCTGCCCCGCCCGCGCCCTCCCCTCCCAGCTCTCTCCGGCCCCCTCTCCTCCCCTCGCCGCCCGTGGGATGGAGGGACTGCCGACCCGGGAGGGTGGCGCCCGCCGCCCCAATCGGCCTGCCGCCGCACGCCGCGCCCAGGCGCGGGCGCAGGGGCGGGCCACCCAGCACCTCCTGCGAGCCTTCGCGGAGGTGCAGGCGCATAGGGGCCAGGAACTCCCCCGCCTGGCCCGCGCCCTGCGCCAGGTGCTGGAGGCCGACCGTGAACATGGAGCTCTTCCCCCTCCCGATCAGCATCCGCGAGACGCTGGTCGACAACGGGTGGTGGATCTTCCGGGAGTGGGCCTTCCTCCACCAGTCGCGGGCCCTCAAGCTGGTGCGCGAGCTGACCGCGGGGATCTGCACCTCCGAGATGATGGGGCGCATCTTCAACGCGCAGGTACGGATCCTCCGCGTGAAGCGATTCCTCCACCAGAAGCCGATCTCCCACCAGACGTGCTACCACCAGGTGCACCTGTCCTCCAACGTGGAGACCTCCGTGGCGGTGCGCAGCAGCTACCTCGAGCAGGCGCTATAGGTCTAAGAGCTGACGCTCCATATACCGCATCTCCTGCCCAGTCGGCTGCTCTTGGGGCCACGCCTCGTCGTCGACGGCGTGTCAAATGGGCGCCTGAGCCCAAGGACGCGGAAGAGGTCGAACACGAGGACGACGATGCTTCGACGCTCCATAAGCGTCGATCCTCCGTCCCCTGCGATAAGGCTGCAAGTGGCGTGCCCTTCTCTGTTGGCTCCTCATCACGTTGCGCTGGCGCGGGTCTGGAAGAAGGCGCGCGCGTCCATGACGCTAACACCGAAGACATCATAAGGACGGAGACGCAGCCCCTCCCCAAGCCTCCGAAGAAGCCTCCTACGGATAATGCTGGCGAGGATGGCGGGCATGACGACGGCGGCTCTGTCATTCCTCGCGGCGTTGCCCAGGTGTCCCAAGTGCCCCCCATCGGAGCTCTCCGACTCCAAGCCGGAGGAGGGGCGAAGAAATGCCCAGTCAAAGGCCAGCGACAATCGCCCAGTGCTACAGCCAGTTCCTTGTCCTCCCGATCGGCGCGCGGGAGGTTTGCCAGGACACGGCGGAAGTATCCAAGATGCGCAAGCTGGCACGGAGACCAGAGCCGCAGGTTTGTTCACTGGCGCATTCGGGCTCACGGCTGGCGAGCAGGACAAATACGCTCCAAACTTTTCGCTCAAAATGGTCCCGTGGCGCCTGGGCCACCGAAGGATGAGAGGGCGGGCGCCCATGACGTACCCGCCAAACTGGGGCCCGTTTCGAGTGCCAGACCGATCGATTTCATGGGTGTGCCCACTCCGAGTACCACTCCTGAGTCGGCGGCCTTGTCGATCAGGCCTGCCGCGCGGCCGCCTGTCTGCGCCCCCGTCGGTGCTCGGGTCACGGGGCAGGGGTCGGGCGGCACTGCTGCTGGAAGCACCTGGCCTCCGCTTGGAGTGAGGGCTGTCATGAACTCCGAGGCTCATCGCATGGAGGTCGACGAGGTCCACGCCAGTTTGCGCAGTCTCACTGGTCGAGGCGATGCCAGTGCTGAAAGCCAAAGACAAGGTGGCAAACCGCACCCAGCTAGCACAGCCCACGGCGAAGCTAGCAGGTGATGGCCGCGAGCCGAACCCATGGTGAATCTCACGACGCCACTCAGGCGGTGGTAAGTAGCCTAGTAGATGCCCGGAACATATTTGAGGGCTTCATTCGATCTGAGGCTGCACGCCGCGAGCTGGCCTCAGGAGCTACCGCTGCTGGTTCGTTGACTAGCGGTTCCGGGTCCACCCCTGGCGCCACTAACAGCCTGCGGGAAAACAACGAGCCGAAGAGGGTCCAGACAGCCCATGGCGAGTCTGACCGCAAAGACGGCGCGCGCCGGGTACTCCGCGAAGACATGAGGGTCCAAGCCAGCGGTAATCTGAAGACAAAAGTGCCAGGTAAGCGACGCCGTGGCCGCCCTCGTCTCCACCAGATCCCTGTCGGCCTGCGCGGCATTGTGCACAAGGTCGACTTCATGGTCGGGACGCGCAGCCACGAGGAGGTCCACGGGCCGCTCGTTGCCGGGGACCTCCCGCTGGGGGAAGGTGTCGGCATGACCTCCCACCCGTAAGACGAGTGGCTTCATTTCACACGTGTCTGACTTGTTGCTGTTTCCCTCATGCTCGTTGCCTCGGTGAGTGACTTGTCTGGGTTGCGGGTCACACGAAGGAGGACGTCTACGCCCTCCGTCACTGGTTTCGCCTGCGGCTCCGCGCTGCTCTCCTACCCCATGCTGGACGGGATATTCCTTGACTCGTCCTTCCTCCACACTTTCTTCCACCTTGCCCTCTCCGCCATCGTGGCGCGAAGGCGCCTCGGCGTAGTCCGTCGGGCGCGCGCCAGCGCGGCCGTCGGGAGACGCTCGAGAGGCGCTGAGCTCTTCCTCTTCCTCCTTTTCCTCCTCCTCCTCCTCCTCCTCCTCTTCCTTCTCCTCCTCCTCCTCCTCCTCCTCCTCCTGCTCCCTCCTCCTCCTCCTCCTCCTCCTCCCCCTCCCCCCTCCTCCACCTCCTCCACCCTCCTCCTCCTCCCCTCCTCCGCCTCCGCCTCCCCCACCCCCACCTCCTCCTCCTCCTCCTCCTCCTCCTCCTCCTCCTCCTCCCCTCCTCCTCCACCTCCTCCGCCTCCTCCGCCCCCTCCTCCTCCTCATCCTCCTCCTCCCGTTGCAGCCGGCTCTGGAAGGCGGGAACGGACCCCCGCTTCGGTTTTACCCTTTGTCCCCACGCGCGCCCGATTTGGTCTCGAAATTTAGGTGTTGAGAGTCGCCGACACTTGGGCCCTCTGCTGAGGCCTATCTGGACCCGCTCCCGTTTGAGCTTCCAGACGCGCCGCGGAGAGTGTCTAGGTCTTATCCCAATGGTACGGCTGTTAGCGTGGATGGATTCCACATGCGCCACTATGCCACGATGTCCGACGGGGCCCTCATCGTTCTCATGTCCGTGCACAGTATCATGAAAGCTACGTCGGTCGTCCTTCACCATGGTCGTTCCATCATGATCTCCCTTCTTCCGAAGCAGGTAGGAGGATGGCGAGCTGTCGGATTGTCTTCGTCAGTTTACCGTTTACATGGCCGTCTTCGTCGGCCTTACGCCGCGGCATGGGAGAACGATCTGGCACGTCCATACCTCGCGGCAGGTGCATTTGCAGACGCTGCAGATGCTTGGTGGCGTCAATCGGTCAAGTCAGAGTTCGCCACTGGCTCTCGTGGGCCAGGGGTTGTTTGTTATATGCTGTGGGACCCTTATAAGTTCTACGCGTTGGTTGATCGAGACCAGCTGCAGCGGAGATGCGATATGCTGGCCTTTCCTTCTCAGATGTCTAGGCGTGCTATCACTATGTGCCGAGGTCCCAGATGGCTCAGTATAGGTGGGATGATCGAGGAGCCTTACTACGCCTGCAACGGGGTGGTGGCGGGGCATTCGTTTGCTACTTCGTTCGTTCGGGCCTATATTATACCCAGCATCGACCTCCTCGCCCCCTCGGTCAACGACTCCCTCTGTATACATGTATATATAGATACACATGTGTATACACACATATGTACATACATATGTGTATATATATGTGTCTATATATAAACATATCGATTGACGATTACGGTCTGCAGTCCACTGGCAGCGAGCGCTGTGGTCGCTGCCATCCTCTATGGTGCCGCCCAGCTTCACGCCGTGCTCACCGATGGTACGAAGTGTGTTGTATCGGTTGACAAAGCCTCTGCTGCTTGCTCCTCTCAGACTGTTGGGTCCAAAGTCCGCGATCGTTTAGCAGGTTTAGGTGGATCATGGCACGAGCACGGCTGTGAACCTCGGTGTGGACGACACGGCAGGACGGCCTCGCAGACAGGCGGGCCGCGGTGTCAAGGATAGGCTGCGTCTCAAGTCGTTCAAGGCCCGCGTCTCGAAGTTGAAGCGTGTCAGGGCCGTCCTGGGACAGAGGCATCCCTAACGTGTTTTTACTGCTGGGCCCCTTGCAGGGGCCACGTATGCTTGCGAGATCCATGGAGTCTCTGATTACGAACTCGCTGGGCTTCGCCGTGGTCTTGGTCGTGCTCTGAAGCCCTCAGCCGCGATGCGTAGTCTCACTTCCCTTCTCATCTTGGAGGGCAACCCATGCTGGCATGCTGCTGTCCTTCCAGTTATTTGTTACTCCAAGGAGGTGTGTTGAATGCTCGTTCTGGGGACCTTCCTGGAGCCACTCGCTCCACTCGTGCGTCGAAGCTGCGTCGAACGTCAGTCGATTTGGGTCGACCCTGAGTCGAACCTGAGTCGAACCTGAGTCGAACTTGAGTCGAACTTGAGTCGAACTTGAGTCGAACTTGAGTCGAACTGGGGTCGAATAGATCCGTTAGGCGGGCTCCAGGAAGGTCCCCGAAACGAGCATCGAGGGTGTGGGCTAATCAAATTAGAATGTTTAAGCAACCTCTCCCCTTCCAATCCCTTCTGTCCGCTTGGACATCGGTTTTCCAGAAGCCCGTGGGTGGCATGCGCAGAAAGAGGCCCCGCTCTCTTGGAGGTCCGTTGGGGGTCCCCTCGCGGCCATGACACTGTCTCTGCACCCTGCGAAATGCTTAAGAAATCATGGGTTAAGAAATTCATAGTCTCAGAAGTTGATATAAAAAGCAGGAATTCCATTAAAATCTTAGGATTTACAGTGAAACATTAAGACTAATCGAGACTCTGTCCGAAAACTTGGGTTTTCTTAAGCATCGCCTAAGGTGTGGAGAGGACTGGGTGGCCCATGAGGTCCTTTACCGAGCTGGTCAACGATTTCGGAGAGGTCCCGCCCTCGTACAAAGAGCCCTGCGGGGCGGAGTTTTGCGTCAGCTGCAGCGCGACCCAGGTCGCTCCTTAGGTCTCGGCGCCAGGCTCTGTTACGACGTGGCGCAGGCAGCTCTGGTCTCTTCTAAGTTCAATGCCCTGGAGAAGGGCTGCATTCGAGGCGTGTGCTGCGGTGCTACATGGTCATGTGATCGTGCTATCTCCTGTGGGTATCAGCTGGCCTCCAATGTGCGCCCGATGTGTCGTTCCGCTCCCGATTCGGTTTTTCACCGGATGCGGGTTTGCCCCACCGTCCAAGGCACGAGAGATGAGCTGGTGAAAAGCGATATCCAGGAGGCAGCCCGAACCATCGACCCTGATTGCGCCAAGAGTGTTGTGTTGTACACTAGAGGCATTTTCCCTCACCCTGGTGACCAATGGCCACGCCCTCGCGATGCTGGCGGCGTTGTCGTGTCCTGGGCCAACGACCCCGAGCGGGTCGACACCAGCGTCTCGAACATCTTTACTGATGGTAGTTGTAGGAAGCACATTATTCAGGAGTTGTCCAGACCGAGCCGGGGGTTTGCAGCCCTGTCAGATGATGGTTCCCTTCTGGTTTCAGTCTACGGCCCCATGCTGGCCCCCTTCCCCCAAACCAGTCAGGCGGGGGAGTTCGGGGCCTTTGATGCCGCCTCCCAGTGCATCACTGGCCCCTCGTGGGGCCACTCGGACTGTTTAAACGTGGTTCGAGCTTTCGGGAAGCCCAGGCCTCTGAAGCTCTCATATAGGCGCCCTTATGCGGGCATAATGTTCACCTCCCTGTCCGCCCAATGGGAGTCTGTGCGCAAGGTCAAAGCCCACGTAGCTGGCTGCGCTGATCTCACTCCCGAGCACGCCTTCAACAAGAAAGGCAACGACGCCGCAGACACTGCGGCCAAGGCTGGCCTCGCTCTCCACCCTGCCCCATCACCATCCCAGATAGATGAGCTAGCTTTCAAGATTCGCGTTGCCAAGGCTGTGGTTTGTTTAGGGGCCAAACTCATGCCTTTGCGGCCCAGACGGGACCTCACAAACGTCGAGTTGGCCCGCATTATTAAGCCAGATAAGCAAGATAGTGTTTCAGATTGTGTGCATGATTGGGAATGGTGTAGGTCTTACCGGCGCTGTCGAGTTTGCCTTAGGATCAAGAGGCGAAGTGACTTCGTTCTCGGTTCATCCCCCTGCCCCGACACTGCTGGGTGCTCAGGCCATACCCCCGAGAGCCTCAACAATGTCGCTTCTTTGGGGCACAGATTATTAGCATTCCAGTGCAGTGACGATTCCCCGCTTTTTGTTTAGGTATCTTGTAAGGCGGCGTCGACCCTGGGGCCCATCTCTCTGCTAGGGAAAGAGTGCACCCACCCGACCAGGAATCATTTGGAGCGGTGGAAATACAGAATCTGTAAAGGCAAGCGCCCTAGGAGGAACGGAGTGACTCTGGAGGTTTCTCCTCTCGACGAGGCCCTCCTAGAGCCCCCCCCCTGGGCCAGCAGCTTTGTGATGTCGTCGGCTCGTCGTTACCTTCGGTTCCATCGTCGTCGTCTTCTGGTGTGCGAAGTGCTGCTGGCCCAGGGTCTCCGAAGATTCCAGTCTCCCCTGCGGGCCCGAACCCTGGGGCCCCTGTGGCGACCCTCGGGCCCGAAAGGGGAGCGAAGTTCACGGGCGTGGGGGAGGCAAATGCCCTCCCTTGCGCAGTCCGCATTACAGCCACCCAAACAGCTGCGTCTGGAGATGTTGGTCCGTCTTTTTGCGGCCTCCCCCTCTCAATGTAGGGCTAGGGGAGGAGCGGCAGCTGCCTGCGGAGGTGCAGAACCTCCGAATGGAGGGTGGTGTCCCTCCGCCTGAGCAAGCTGCCCGCGGCAGCTCAGAGGTTTCCGTTTCCGGCGATTCCGACTGACCTGTTTTTTTTTGGGTGCCTTGGCGGTGCTCGTCTCAGCGTCGGCCACCGCTCAGGCTTCTTTCATCGGTGCCAAATAGCTGGCTCCGATTCACCCTGGCATCATGTCCAAGGGCACGGCCCTCGTGGTGTATCCTCCTCCTCCTCCTCCTCCTCCTCCTCCTCCTCCTCCTCCTCCTCCTCCTCTTGCCCCTCCTCCTCCGCCTCCTCCGCCTCCTCCGCCTCCTCCTCCTCCTCCTCCCCCTCCTCCTCCCAAGGAGGGGGGGAGGACGGCGATCGGTCCCCTGGCTGCGCGCCGGGGAGGCCGCCGCTCGGGGCAGCGCGGCTCGCGGCCGAGGGACAAATGATGGTCTTCAGTGTGCCGCCCTACGGGAATCGACC